TTTTTTTTTTTTTTTGCTGTTGGTAGGATATAAGATATACTAGCTGAATGTCCAATTAATTAGCTTAATATCTCTTTTCTAGTTTTTCTGAAGTATTGATGAACAATGAACGATGAATAATGATCATCAATTAACAACAGCTGATATGATAGTAAAAAAAAGGTTTTTTGTCTAGTCCATTTGTTTTATTCTGTTTTATATGTATACAATGGTGGCGACGACCAGCTGATTGCTGCGATCAAATGTCCGTTGTCCTGTCCGAAAACAGTGTCCACTCTGCAATAATTGTCAACAAACAAATAAACACACGCAGACAAGCAGACAGACAGACAGCAGACATATAGACACAAATATACATTTATATATATATATACATATACAAATATAAAAAGGCAGTCATTGGAGACACGTTCCAAGTCGAAATCTTTAGGCGGCAGGCACTGCGTACACTGCAACGCCGCCATTCAGAACGCAACGCATCGGTTCATTCCCTTAGAATAAAAGAGTGCCGTTTTATTGTTGTTGTTGTTGTCGAGCAGACTTTTTAAGCCGCCATATGAATATCGATGTTGATAGAATTTTCAGCAGCACAGTGTTCTCTCAAATTTTAACAAAAATTTTGATAGTTGATGGATGAATATAGTATTGTTTTGTTTCTTTTTTTTTATTTTAATGATCAGTTGTTGTTTAGATTTTTTTTTGCATTGCTGAAATTTTTTACCAGATGTTTCCGTCAGATGGATTTATGTATTTTTTTATTAGTGAAATAAGTGAAAAAAAATTTAATTCATTTTTAAATGTTTTATCAGAGATATCATGTGTATACATCTGTCAACTATGAAACTTTTTATGTTGGTCATTTTATAGATTCTTTGTTGTTAAATTTTTTTTTGTCGTGCTTCAGCGATAGCTGGAATTGTGTTTCTGTTTTCTGTTTCGCAATTTTTACTGTTGCAATATTGTCTTACCGTTATATGTTTCCAGATCTCCTACGTGTTCATATTTTTTTTGCGATATTTATGGATAGTTTTATATTTGTTTTCAGTCTATTGCTTTTAGCCATTTTTTTTGTGTGATCGGCATACTATCGAGCATTCTGAGTTCTCGTCAATCAATCCTCTTCCGGCCCTGAAAAAATTTAGCAGCTTTTCTCGTGCGCAATTTTGGTGCAACGTAGAAGCCAAAGCTTCTGAAGGGAATTATAATTTTAGGTAATCTTTTGCAGCTTTTCTTTCTCTTAAGATTTTTTGTGGAAAAATGTCAGCGGTAAAGAAATGAAAAAAAACTTTTTACTTGAGAAAAATTTTAAAATCCAGAAATTTGGGAGTAAAGCCTTTTTATTTCTACGAAATTTCGTTCGGAAATGGGCGATAGGTGCACTCATCAATACAGTTATTTTTGGCTGTGTAGAGGTTATTTCTTTGATTACTTGTATATTTTTTTCAATGGTGGGGTGCCAATTCTTTTAAGAACCTGAAGTTGGAATTTTATTGTGCGAGAAAAACAGGAAAATGGCATTTACGGACGTATCTGTTAGGCTGTTAAAAGAACCGAGAAATAAGGTGATAATAGAATTTTGGTAGGTATTTTTCATCTGAGTGCTACTGCTACCGAGTTTCACTGGTTGTTCTTTTTGCAAGTGATATACCTAAGTCTTATGCCTATAGTTTTTTATTATACACTTGTTAGATTCGGAATTGCCTCTGGAAGTGTTCCCCTAGCCATTTTTTCTTGTTATTAGCCATATTCTACACGAGTGGTATTCAAGCATATTATTTTGCTGACTTTAACATTTTCACCGTTTGACGATACTTTTAATGTCATTTGTCCCAGTCTAAGATTCTTTCATCATGAGAGCGTGTTTCTTTTTTAATTTTATTGAGAGATGACTTGCTGTTTTTCCACTAAAATCTCACCTTCGTCACTTTGGCTACGTCTTATTGGCATACGCAGCTTAAGTTCTTTGGCCATTGAGCCTCTTTTTTTTTTTTTTAAATAATCAAAGTGGTCAACTTTTGATAGATTTTTGCAAGTGGAAGAGTTTTGTTCGTCTGGGTAACAAGTGGTGTGCACACTCAAAGAGTAAAAAGGTACCGGACTTCAAAACATTAGTTCTTAATAGGACGATTACAGATTCATGGGTCTAAATTTAGATTTTTGAAAATTGAGCAGGAGTTGATCGTATCTGATTCTGATGCTGCAGCAAGCAGATTATGGAAGTTCGAGTAGTTCATCGGACTCACATCCTTCTTCAGCTGCAGCAGAATGCCCCTTAACGTTTCAAAATTCGTGTACGACTAAAGTAAAGCCGCTATTATTGAGTCAGCAGTGGAAGGTTCGTGTTTCGTTCCGTTTATAAATTGGACGTTGCTTTGTTTTTGTGTGGAAAAGTTAGCTTTGCAGGCAGTAAGAGGATTCTAAATCCTTAACTTTTTTTTTTCATTTCACAATCTGTTTTTTAATGCTATTTATTTTGTAAACCAGTTCGAAATCATTTAGATCGAAAATTTTGTTCCCGTAATTAAATTTGCGTTGCCCGGTCAGTGCTTGCGAAGTAATTTGTTTCGTGACGAGATGCTACCTGAAGCATTTTGGCAGCTCTGTTTGTATCCCGGAGGTAAACGTGCAGAAAATGCTAATCATGTCTCATTATTTTTGAAAATGTCGTCTACCTCACCAACTAGAGAAGTATGTTGATTATTAAGTTTTTTTATTTAGGTGTTGTTGTCGTCATCGACTGAAATCTATTTTGTAAGAATTTGTCAGTTTTTGGTAAAGAAATGCTTTTTAACCTTTTCTTTGATCTCGTCATTGTTTTTTGATCTATATTATGCCGGCTTTCAAATTCATTCTTCCACTTCTTAAAATTTACGGGACTTTCGTCTTTCGGCTTCTGGGTTTTAGCGCTTTTTTATCAGCACTGTGAAACCTATCTTAGATACCGTGTCTTCGCTCTAAATTTGTTGTAAATTCCTATAGCCACATTCAGAAACACCGAGTTAGAAAATTTTGACTGAGAATGATTTTTCTGAAGTAAATTGTTGTTTGCATTTGTACCTTTCATGATTTAAGGTTCGAATCAAGGTGGAGTATCGCTTCTATTTTTTAAATGAGAATGGTACTCCTTTGTTCAGCAATGTCAATGTTGGTGAATTCCACGCAAAACCACCCAAAGGTGGCCATTCTTGGGGCCTTCGTAACATTCCAAGACAAAAAGTAATTTCATTTCATTTTGCGTCTGAATCTACTTTTGATTAACGTTTTCACAAGCAGATATTGTGGCATTCAAATTACTGCTTTTTTTTTTTAAAATTTTTAATTATTCGTTGATAATTTGTTCAAACTGTTAAGGTGTTAAATTGCGTTCGCTCCGATGGGTCCTTAATGGTGTCTTGCCGTATAGAGCTTATCCCAGATATTAGTCGCATCAGGTGTATTCCATCTAATGAATCAGACTTAACTATTCCAAGGAAAATGGTTAGTTTTCTTTCTATCTAAGTGAATTTGGCCCTCCCATTGACACTATTTTTCGGTACCCTGTTCAAGGTTTGCTCGGAATACTTCAAACGCCAAGAAATGGCCCTTAACGATGGGATCATGGCAGATTGTACTTTGGAGTGTAATGGTCAGATGATTCAAGTAAACAAATTCGTATTAAGTACGCACTCAGAGGTATTTTTTGTTTTTTTTTATTTCGTATTTTGTAATTTAGTTTGCTGAAGTTCATCCTTTCGTCAATTTTGAGAGTGTTACCAGAAGTCTAGGGTATGGATAAAAGTAATCAGGTTTTCATTTTCAGGTGTTCAAAGCAATGTTTGCCCATGAGGAATTTTTAGAAAACAAAGAGGCAAGAGTAATTTTGAAAGATACTGATATAGATTCTGTCAGGTCTGTTTTTTAATTTGAAAGTAATTTCTTTATTCGTATTCATTTTCTAATTTTTTATTTCTGGATATTTTTTTGTTTCTTCTTACTCTTAGTTTTAGGTCAGAAAAACAAGTTACTAGTCTTTGCATTCTTTCTGAGTTTGATCATTATTTAGAAATCTGGAGTGGGATTATACATAAATGTTTGAAAATTCAACTTATTTTATATTTGCACAGAAACTTTATTGTGACGATTCTCACAAATCATTTTTCAGGATGATGGTTCATTTTATGTATTGCGGGGATGTCAAATTTTCGTCTAATGTTGAAGGCATAATGGTACTTGCCGAAAGGTACCAAATTAGTGAATTAAAAGAGATGTGTGAGCAGTTTCTATGTAGTCGTGTGAATAAATGCAATGCTCTTGAAATGTATGACCTTGCCGACATGTACAACTGCTGTGGTCTTAAAGATGCTGTTGTTTGTACGGTTAGATATTTTAAATTATTCCTTTTATTCTTCGGACAGAAATCTACGCAAATAAGGTCTTTGAATTTGTATGAGATCTTTCAGTGAACAGATAATTTTAGATCCAGAAAAGCAAGGATTTTGTTCTGAGCACACCTGCCTGGGAGAGCTTCAAGGAAACGAATCCTAGATTAATGAATGAGTTAATGGAACGAGTTGTCAAAAGTATTGATTATGCTCCACCACCATATAAACGACAACGACCTTAGAGCAAAAGAATGTAAAATTAGTCGAATTAAAGAAGTAGAGTAATAGACGTTCACGTTGTGTGGGACGTAGTGTTGAAGAGAAAGAAATTGGTATCATAAAAATAAGTTTGAATTATAGCGATATTCTAGTACTTGAACTGCTGACACTTGTCTTGAGGGTATTTGGTATTTGAGAAGTTGGAAAGTAAAAGGGGATATGGGGAAAACATTAGTTGCAAACAGCCGAAAGCATGACTGCGGTACAGCTAAGATGTTTATTTTTATTAATAAAGGAGATGGCAGTTCGTGATGATGAAGTTGAATGTAGCTTAGAATTAGAGTTTTACGACTAAGAATCGTGAACCTTTTTGGCAGTAGAGCAGCAGTTTCAGAAGGAAGATGAGGCTTAATTGGAAATCACAGTTCTGATATTAGGTACTGGCTGGGGCTCTAAAGGTTTGTCACTACGTATTTTTGTTTCTTGCTTTTATTATAGGATGAATGCTCGTAGAGTTCAGAGGTTGCTTCTGATTTTAGTTGAGAAATGTCTTCGCTTCGTTTGGAAGTTCATTTTTGCCTTTTACTTTATGCAGCATATAGTCTTTACGTGCTGAAGATCTCTCAGAGATTCTTCTAGATGTTTTTAAAACTTGGGGGTATTCTCTGAAAATCGTTATTCAGTTAATTTTTCGTAGTGACGGTGAGTTCTAAATAGTTTTCTTATTTTGTTCTTTTTTTTTTTTTTTTTT